AAATATATCCTAGCATTGTGTAATTTTAGTTACAGTTTTGCTCTATAAATTAATTAAGATTACCGTCGCGTATCTGTCTCGCATTACACAAAGCCGGAAATAGCAATCAGCTGTGCACCGTTTCCCCTTGAACAAGTTCAAACATGCACAATAATATAGCGGGATGAATTCTATTGATTGAATACTATTATTTAACCCAAAAAATATATCCTAGCATTGTGTAATAGTTTTTATGTAAAAATATATAATCAACACTAAGGTTATAACGGACCATCATGAGCGTGGTAAGCACGCGTGACATGGAAGCAGGCGGTAATCAGTTTGTGATTGTTGAATGGGGTAAAATAAGCAAGCCAGTTTGTTGCTACAATAAATATGATATTTAGAGAAGCAAAATATATTATGCATTTTCTGTCAACTACACTTCGTTTCGATCCATTGAGTAGACACAATATATATGACAGTGAATTCTTTGAATAATGTGGATCGACAGTGACACGGAATTTGATGGGTTTCTGACCCGATGACTTGTGAAAATCTCAGAACTCTCTTGCAGAAATGTCAGTGTTTATTGTTAGTGGACTATTTTTCTTATTGTCATATATATATAGATGAAATATGGACACTTAAATAATATATTTTGATACAAAAGTTGACTTCAGTTTTTATTTACCGATGGTACTTTTTCACAAAATGGCGCCTCGTTGTTGATGCAAGCAGTGATCTTCGGGATATAAAAGAACACAAACACATGTTGCCACAATACACCGGTAATCTTTATTATGTAATATTCTCACCAACACTTACGCTGTATATCCACTTTCCAAATGCGCCTCGTTGTTGATGCAAGCAGTGATCGTTAAAAAAAGGTAAACAAACACCGGTAATCTTTATTATGTAATATTCTCGTAATGGTGTCTCGTCGTTGATGGAACATACTTACCGGGTACTCTGGTCTCTGTTGGCCGCGACCCATCGCGGGGGGTCGGCCTATTCATGAGAGATATGATTTTGACACTGATTTTGAGGGTCAAGTTTGGGGGTCGGCTTATCCATGGGATCGGCTTATAGACGGTCATATACGGTACATTACGCCTGTACGCCCCTTATCTGTAGCCCTGCACATGACAAACATCTGTTATACAGAATTGAGCATTATCCCATTAGGTTTTACAAGATGGCAACTGAACAAACAGATGTAGCTATATTTCGATTGATGATGAACTGTATTTTGTATTCATGTTTAAAGACAGAACATGCATTTTTCACTTTCACTGAGGAGATGGTCATGCAGACACATGTATTATGTTGATATTATTTTGAGATGCTTGTTGCCCAGATCATGGAATCAACAAAAGGTGCCGAGTTTGCAGCGCGTCTTTATGAGACATCTTCCAGATCAGGACCACTTCTCAAGTTGCTCATATCTAAACAGGTGGGAAACAAATTACTTAAGAAATTCAGAATTACAAGAAAGATTCATGGAATGATTTTAAACAGAAGTTAGCCGGTGTATTCAATATGTGTAAAAATGAGACTGTATGAAAAATGGTTCTGTTTTTGATCGGGGTGGTGAGATGAGAGACACAAACAGACGTTCTCTATATGTGTACCTGAGATAATGTTTTATTGTACCACTATTGTGCTGTCAGACATCACTCTCTGATGCTGTGAGGAGGATGGTGGAACGCCTGGCTGTCTTCACACCGGGACGAAGAAGTCCACTCCTGTCGGTCATCAAGCAGTTCTTGGAAGCTGGTAAAACATCAGGATCAGAGAGTAAGACCAAAGAAAGAACTCAGATGAAACTGGAGATGTTTAAAACTGGTGGGAAAGTGGATCCTAACAAGCTCACACAAGGTAGAGTACTTTTTTAGTGTGAGTGAGTGAGTATGGTTTTACGCCGCTTTTAGCAATATTCCAGCAATATCACAGTGGGGAACACCAGAAATGGCTTCACACATTGTACCCATGTGGGGAATCGAACCCGGGTCTTCGGCGTGACGAGCAAACACTTTAACCACTAGGCTACCTCACCGCCCCCTGTTTTAGTGCGAGGGTTGTTTTCTCCTCCTCCCAGCAATGTTACATCTTTATCATAGAGGTGACTGGGGAATTCAGGAACAGACAGAACAGTGGTTGATGGCATGAGCACACATCCCCTGCAGGGTAAAGTTGGCATCTCGTTTTGTGGTGCTAACATGGTGAACAGTACTAGTTGCTTTATGATCAGTTTGTTGATTGCAGCCCTACGTCACATTGCTGCCTTGTTGTACTCGATAAAGCATCTGCCCAAAGAGAAGAAGATCGATGGTTCAATCCAAGGATGTGTCATACCAAAATAGTGGCGGTGTCGTAGCATAGTGGTTAAAGGGTTTGCTTGTCACACAGAAGACAACGGTTCAATTCCCAGCATAGGTACAATGTGCGAAGCCAATTTCTGGTGTCCCTCACGTTGATATTGCTGGAATATTGCTAAAATCGGGATAAAACCATATCAAGGTGATAAAAAATTGTACTTATTGTTGCTGTGCATTGGGCTCGGCAGTAAGGGGATAAAACTGGCCAGCTCATGGACAGTATAAGTGCCTGAGTGGTGTAACAACAGCATGGGATCTTGTGGGGCCAACACTATTAACAGAGAACTGGTGTTCGGCTGGGCCCCTGCCATTAGGCAGACATGCACGCATGCATGTCGCCTTCTATCAGTACAGTAATCTTGAAAGCAACACCAGCCCCGTTTCTAATCACTATAAGCACAACCAACATCTCCCTAGTTGCAGAGGTATAAGGCAGTGTTCTCTCTAACCTGTTATTCCTTTGTTTAGTTCCGCTTGCGTGAGCCGGAATGCTACCTACATGGGTAGCTTGTGATAGTTGACCTAATGTTGACTGGTGTTTTGAAGGTCTCCCAGCTCTGAGTGGCGACCCTGACCTTGAGAACCTAGTGCAGCAGTGTATGATGGAGCTGATGGAGAAGACGACATCAGCAGATGGTGCCAAGGCTGCCAGTCAGGCTCTGATACATTTAGAGAAAGTGTAAGTGTGTATGTTCAGCTGTATAACAAGTGAACCAGGAACTAAGTCTTTACCCTTGACATTCTCTTGTCAACTTTATCCTGTGTTGTGAAAGACAAATAATATGTTCTTTAGATGGTGAGTGTGAAAAAGTCCTTTGTAGTTGATCACCTGCGGGATTATAATCAGCATTGCCATTTTACCACCAGGTCGCCCATGCTTGTATCCACTGCCTCTCTGCTGATTGACTGGTTGGAACTGCTGGACCCTGAAATCATCCAGTCCAACCCCGATCTGCAGCAGCAGTTGATATTTGCTAAGAAGACCGTCAGCCATTCGAGGGAGAAGGTTCCAGGCAGCCGGAAGGAGCCCTACTTGCTGGCGCTGCTCACTCACCAGTGTAACTGGGGCACAGTCAACAGGTGTATCACCAGGATCCTCAACAACACAGACAAGAGGTAATGTAGTTTTTGTGGAGTCTGACATGATTTGGTTACTGATGGCTGTTGTTTCTGTATAGCCTGATATGACCTGGTTGCTGATGGCTGTGAAGCATGTGGCTATGTGTTCCATCAACATCAAGCTTTGTTTATTTCTGGGGGCATGGTTTACCCAGTTGTCCCAGGTGTCACATGTCTGACACCAGATTTGCCATGATTGTGTTTCTACATGTGTCAGCACCAGACCCATGCTGGTGGGTTTCACTCAGGTGTTAACTTCAGGCTTTCCACTTAATTTCAGTAATATCACAGGAATACTAAATTAAGCATTAGCTAAGAGATCAGGATTCTTCTTTCAAAAGAATTAACAATTGATCTTAGCAGTCTCACTGAGGTAATTCAGGCAGTGAGTATTTGTAGGTTCAGTAACCTTCAACTTCAGAAACCTGTATTTCAGCTTCAATGCAACGGCAGTGTTGGACTTCCTGTGGGCGTGTATCCACATCCCAAAGATCTGGCAGGGACGAGAGTGCAAGAAGGTAAGGACTTTCTTTACACGCATATGGCTGGCAGGAGGTCTTTGTTCAGTTTGTGGAGGACTGAAATCTTTCTCTTATTAAAGCAATATCATGAAGCTAGTTGTAATGCTCTTCCTGGTAATAAACTATGTTTTATTTGTCCCAGATGGACAGTTGCGAGGACATTCTGTCGCCGACCATCAGCCAGGTGATATGTGTGGTGGACTACATCCTGGAAGAAGCTGGTGACACTAGGAAAACAACTGCAGCCATGTCCTCCAATCCTGCTGGTGCCCTGAGCCCATCTTCTTCAACCCCAGAGACCCTTTGTCAGAGGATGAGTCTGCTGAAGGCCTGCTTGGCTGACAAGGATGTCCGACTGAGAGCTTTGGTGGATCATCTTCAAGGGAAGCACGGTCACAGGTATGTGTCATGTTGCCATCACTCTTCCCGTTGCTGAACACTCTCTGCTCAGTGCTCTCCACTGCTATTTGCTGTCCCATTTACTCTGATCACTCTGTCCTGCTTAACACTCCTCTATGCTCAACACTCTCCTCAACACTCACCGCTCTCCTTACCACTCACCGCTCTCCCTACTACTCAACACTCTCCTCACCACTCACCGCTCTCCTTACCACTCACCGCTCTCCTTACCACTCACCTCTCTCCTTACCCCTCACCGCTCTCATTACAACTCACCGATCTCCTTACCACTCACCGCTCTCCTTACCCCTCACTGCTCTCCTTACCACTCACCGCTCTCCTTACCACTCACCGCTCTCCTTACCACTCACCGCTCTCCTTACCACTCAACGCTCTCCTTACCACTCACCGCTCTCCTTACCACTCACCGCTCTCCCTCCCACTCACCGCTCTCCTTACCACTCACCGCTCTCCCTCCCACTCACCGCTCTCCTTACCACTCACTGCTCTCCTTACCACTCACCGCTCTCCTTACCACTCACCGCTCTCCCTCCCACTCAACGCTCTCCTTACCACTCACCGCTCTCCTTACCTCTCAACACTCTCCTTACCACTCAACGCTCTCCTTACCACTCAACGCTCTCCTTACCACTCACCGCTCTCCTTACCACTCAACACTCTCCTTACCACTCAACACTTTCCTTACCGCTCTCCTTACCCCTCACCGCTCTCCTTACCGCTCTCCTTACCACTCACCGCTCTCCTTACCACTCACACCTCTCTCCTTACCCCTCACCGCTCTCATTACAACTCACCGATCTCCTTACCACTCACCGCTCTCCTTACCCCTCACTGCTCTCCTTACCACTCACCGCTCTCCTTACCCCTCACTGCTCTCCTTACCACTCACCGCTCTACTTACCACTCACCGCTCTCCTTACCCCTCACTGCTCTCCTTACCACTCACCGCTCTCCTTACCACTCACCGCTCTCCTTACCACTCACCGCTCTCCTTACCACTCACCGCGCTCATGTCTCCTCAACCCATGCCTTATTTTCTCAGTGTTTTTCTCACTGCAAAACTCTCCTACCTCTGTCCAAAGATCTCCCTCTACACAACACCCATGGTTATATATTCACGTTAGTCCTCTCGTCTAAGACAACCTAATTTTACTGTGGACTGTTAAACTGGACTATTAAATAATATTTGGTGATTATTTTGTAAGTAGTGCTTCCTTTTTTGATTTACAGTGACTTGGAAAAAAAGGATATTTTTAAACTTATCCTATCTCACGACTTGCACCTCTCTCTCTTCATTCGACCATGAGTGGAAACGAATTAAAACTTTGCTCCAGGCCTGCCTTGTCCCTGTCCCTGTGCTGTGCGTGCCTTCCTGCCTAAGTCATGCTCACTAGTCCATGACAGCACGAGGCATGCGCAGTCCTCACCCACGTGATCACCTCACATACTCATTCTCTTTCTTGTCGCTCCACTGAGTGGATGTGAAAAATTTTTCGTCTGATAATTGCTCAACATGGTTAAGCCTGTTCAGGCCAGAAACGAAGTGTTGCGCTCAGCGTAATAAAGTTTTTTCAGCTTGGGACCCACACACATTATGTGTTGATTGTGTGGGTTGTTGTGATTGGGACAAACGTTGTCCTAAGTATTCAGGACTGTCTAATGAGGATTTTAAAGCTTACAAACGTACGTTTGGCACATAGGGCCAGGAATGCTTATGCGGGATCTGGTCCATCTCCCGCCAAAAACAATGTTTACATCGCCCCACCCTACCTGCTCGCCGTTCTAAATCTCCCGTCTCTCCTAACGAAGATTTTATGGATGCTTCGTCTGATTCCTATTTGTCTGAGAATGTAAAAGGCGTTTGGGACGCTTTCCTCACCTAGCTCAAGTTCTCATGGGCATGCAAGGGTGGTAATGGCTGATATTTCCTCTGCACAAGACCTGCGATCTACTTCATCCTCGTAGATCCGTTTCTTCGGACCGTTCAGGTCCTCGAAACTTCTAAATCCAAGCATTCATCATCGAAGCGTGGCTCGGCGTGGTTGGAACATATCCGTTCTCCTCTTGGTACGGTTTCATTCCACGAAACAATTCACCCACACGAGTTGAGTCACCATCTGGTTCGGAGGTTCGAATTCGTTCTTCTACTGCTGGGAACTGTCGTTCTAGATCTCGTTCACGCTCTTGCTCTCGTCGTCCTTCCAATGTACCAGTCCGAACCGATTCACCACCTCGACTCATTTCACCAATCAGAATTGGGTCTAACGCCAGTGTTGGTTCACTAGAACGGAACCATTCACCTAGCCGTGTCATTGCCAAGGGTCGAACTAGTTCACTCAGCCGAGCCGGCTCACCAGACCGAACTCGAAAGGATTCACCAGGACGAACCGGTTCACATTCCCGACTCAGTTCACCTCAACATAGGTTTCGGTTCAACTCACCATCTCATAGTCGAATCAATTCACCACAGCATTCTGATTCACGTAGTCGTTCAGTCTCACCTAGTCAAAGTGGTTCGCCATTTCGATCCGGTTCACCTAGCTGTACGGTGTGTTTTCGTCGGAGTGATTCTCGTAGTCGGTCTTATTCACCTCAGGTTAATCAGGATATCCCTAGTGAGCACTTGCGGTCAGCACCTTTACGTGATAGTTTCCCACATTAACATCGTTTCTGTGCGGGTGGTTTCACCTGCTAGGCTGCGTTATGGTTCAGTGGATCGGCGTTCACCTTCATGCCATGCCACTTCTACCTAGGCCTCGGTCATAGGTTATTGCTGAGTCTTGGAATACTGCGCTTGATCCCTCTCCAGCGCCGGGTTTTGACACCATGCTTCTTGCTGTTGACCCTAAGTAGCGTAATTTTGCGCACACTGTAACAATATTTACTTCCTAGGATCCCCACTCGTCATGTGTGGGTTGTATTGACCTGTGTTCCTGGAGCAAACGTTGTCGGGAATTTGCTCCCTTATCAAGGACGTATTTAGAGCATGCAGACATGCTTGCTCCCGTTGGCTGGCAGCTCGTTACACTTCAACAGTTGATCACCCGACAAACCCCCGCTTTTAACGACCGGTATTAACTGCTCGTCGTCCGGAGATTCCCATGTCAGACGGTGGTAATTTCATTGGCGCATCATCAGATGTCTTCTCGTCGTTCCGCCTCATCAAACCGCTCTGTGTTGCCAGCTGACTCACACAGCCGAGTTACATCGTCAAAACCGTTTCGCCACGGCGTATGTGGATTACGATATCGACTCAGTTCGCCATAATATTAAGACTGTTTCGTATCGCCAAAACGGTTCACATCATCGATTCACATGCACAGCACCGAAACCATTCACCTTGGCCGGAACATTTTACCTCGCCTCATCGGTTCATCTGAGCGTTCTAGATCTCTCCATCAGCTGAGATCATTTAAACGTTTCGGATTACCGAACCGATCCAGATCACGGACTGATTCAGATCACGTCAACATTCCGGCTCACCACCCTGAACCGATTTACCAGCCCGACAGGGCATCTGTGAGGTGCTGAATTCCTCATTAGGAAGTGGCAAGCTCTAAGCTCAACAATTTGATTTGTTTATCCGGTTTACCTTACGGCTTGTGAGGTGCTTAATGTTTTTAGTCACATAACTTATCCCACCTTGTACCCCTTTTTCGGATGGTTGTACAGAGGTAGTAGCTATGTGCTTCACTATGCCGAATTGTTTTACATGTGATGTCAGTAGCGCAGTCATCTAGAGATATCACGCTCGGCACTTGACGGTCTGACAATCCCAGTTCTCAAGAGTCCTCCGTGACCGGGGCTCATTTCATTCCAGATTTAATCTATCATCCGATCTTCACCTTTGATGAATGATTTGGTTCAACGATTCTACCCTTCGGTGTAGATATCAGTTCTACAACCACCCGATATGGCAGTACTAGATACGCTTGCTAGCCAGGAATACTTTACGACGCTCCACTGAGTCCTTGTTACTACAGACTACTGGTAACAGCGTGTTTGTGTATCGTTGGGTGCAATTGTTGCAGATGGCTCGTCATCTTCAGCTCCCTTTGTTTTACATGATAAGCAAGTTTCTGGACAGATAACAGATTGGTGAAGTTTTTGCGCATGGTACCAGCAGTGATGTTTTGTCAAATAGCCAGCATAGCTCAGCCCGGAATTTATGGGTTGCGACTCGCCCGGTTAACCGAAGACAGTGTTGTCCAGTTTTTTGTCACTCGTGTGTGTAACATTTGCAAATGGCGGACTACTGTTTGTTTACCGGAATTTTGATGATTAGAGTGACTATGAAGTGCCCTTGCAGACTTGTCTTGGTCCCACGAATCGGATACCAAGTCCAGCCTTTAAATGCTAGTAACAATGAATGCTGCCATTCCCGGTAAGAGTGATTGTGTCGGGATTTTGACAGCCAGTCGAGAGAGACTGCTTATCTAGGGTGACAGACAGAAACACCCGTGAACGGTTTGACTAGCTCAAGCACTGAGTTCAGAGGTCACTGCAGTTATGCAAGGACTGTCACCAGGCAGCGATCTACTACCTTTATCACTCCACCTGGCGAACCATCATTTTGTTTGGCCAACCGAAACGTTCCTGAGATCACCGATTGTACGAATTTCTTCAATTCGTTTACAATGGGAACGTTCCTGTAGATTGACTGACAATCTCCATGCGCCGAACATACTACATTGAACACTCCGTCAGAACTGACAAAATTGCTCGACTTATTGAACGTTGTTTTATCAGGAGATATCTTTTTGTCAGAGGCAAGAGTGGTTAGACCTCTCATTTCCCTCGAACTGCGACTGCCGTGGCGTAACCTAGTAGTTAAAGGGTTGGCTCCTCACGCCAAAGACCCGGGTTCGATTCCCCACAAGGGCACAATGTGTCCCCCGCCGTGATGTTGCTGGGTTATTGCTAAAAGGGGCGGCGTAGAGCTAAACTCAGTCAGTCAGTCAGTCCCTCAACCTGCGAGGCACCTACCTTCATCGGCCTAAAAAGCCTAGTCAGTCGAAACAGCATTCCTCTTCCCATGCGGGACGACCTACTAGTTCATCCGCACTCGGGCGTGTATCACGAGTCACCACAGACGTTCAATCTTCACGTATGGCACATTTGCAGAAATCACTAATAGCCAAAGGTTATTCTCACAGAGTGGCCTCAGCTATCACTGCAGCTCATCGTACATCCACACGTTCTTTGTATGCCGATAAGTGGAAGAAATTTGAATGTTATTGTCGGGTCAGAGGGATCGCTTCCCCTACTACTGCTTCGCCCCAGGTTGTTGCGGAATATTTACAACATTTGCGGGCTACAAGGAAACTCAAGGGTTCCACTTTAGCCACCTACTTGGCGGCTATTAATTCGGTCCTAGCCACGACTTCTGGTACGAAGGTTTCGACAGTACCGGAACCGCAGTACTTGCTTCGTTCTTTTAAGCTAGCCGACCAATCCAGGAAATTTTGTCCACCAGCTTGGGACTTATCCGTGGTCCTGCGCCGCTAAGTGTCCGAGCATTATGAACCCTTACAGGCCAAGGAATTTGAACAGGTTTCGTTGAAGACCTTTTTTCTTATTGCCTTGGCCACGGCGGCACGTATATCAGAACTGCATGCTCTAGATGTCAACCGTGTCCGTTTTGAACAGAGTAGACATGGCAAGGTATTTTTCGGATTGCGCTGGGATTTTGTCGCAAAAAAACAGTTGCCGGGTCAACCTGATCGTCTTTTTACAATCCCGCCTTTGTCTACCATATTGGGTCCAGCAGATGTCGAAGATCTGTCTCTTTGTCCAGCCAGAGCACTTCAAGCATTTACCTTAAAGCATCGCAAGAGCGCCGCCGTCTGCGTAAGAGACTGTTTATACCCTTGTCTACTGCTTCCAAGGCAGAAGTCTCTCGCACAACACTCTCATATTGGCTACGAGCTACAATACTACGAGCCTACACTTTTGGCAGTCAACCCTCATGAAACCAGGGCATTGGCTTCTACTATGGCGTTGCATAGCAAGTGCTCGTTAACTGCCATAATGGAGGGTTGTTTTTGGCGATCTGACACGGTATTTTCGTCTCATTACCTCAGAGATGTGTCGGTGACGGATATTCAAGGCCTTCATCAGTTTGGACCACTCGTCCTTGCCCAGCAGTTATCAGCGGCACAACATCGCAGATAATGAACTTCCTTGTGCTACGATGCTATATGGATCCCACTGTGCAGTTGATCCCAAGTCGCGATCGTTTCTGCTTGTGTACAATCTGAATAAATCTGAATTATTTTTTTCTGATTTACGTTTTTGTTTCTTCCGGGATTTAGATTTCTCCTCTCATTTGTTTGAGACTATAGAGAGTCGCCACCTCACTTACTGTCCTCTGCTCCACGGAGTAATTAAGTCAGTGAAGTGAGTCCTTCCTGAAGTGTTACACTTCGTAGCGTTCATGCTCCTAAGTGCCTATACACATCTATGTGATCTTACTGTGGTAAGTAGTGGAAGTCATAAGATGATGTTGTGGTACTGAACGTTAAAATTGTGAGTTTTACCGATTCAATTACCCTTTCACCCTCCTCGGGACGGTGTCTGTGGAGGTTGTTTCGAAGCAGGGGCTGGCCCGATACTAGTCGTTAGACTTTTATTACGGGGGTACCTTGGAAATCGTGGCGATGCGACTGATTACACTCGCTAAGCTACGTCCTTTCACTTTGTGAAGGTAGTGACTGAACACCACATTGCTCGGGAATCTCGGTCCCTGGGAACACTTGTGCTTAGTAAGTCAATGGGTTCGCACTAACCCTCGCACGTAGTAACTTGGTAGTTTTTGGCCTACCTTGTAGTTGCTTCCTACGGTTGTTTGGGCATAACGCTTAGCTGTTATCGCTTGAACTTCGGGTAATCTATGACCCACCTTCCTACCGGGGGATAAGTGCAAGTCGTGAGATAGGATAAGTTTAAAAATTTGAAAATTTTAACTATAAATTGTATATTTATATACTTATCCTATCTCACGCGATAAAGTCCCTCCCTACCTCCCCACTACATAGATTACCACCGTTCCGGTTTTGTCCTTTTATGGCTCCAAGATCGAGAATGAGTATGTGAGGTGATCACGTGGGTGAGGACTGCGCATGCCTCGTGCTGTCATGGACTAGTGAGCATGACTTAGGCAGGAAGGCAGGCACAGCACAGGGAGAGGGACAAGGTAGGCCTGGAGCAAAGTTTTAATTCGTTTCCACTCATGGTCGAATGAAGAGAGAGAGGTGCAAGTCGTGAGATAGGATAAGTATATAAATATACAATTTATAGTTAAAATTTTCAATTCTAGCTTCTTGTTGCTTTCATTGTACCTATGTTTAGAATCAAACCCAGGCCTTGGTGTGACGAGAGAAAGCTTTAACCACCAGGCCACCCCACCTCCCCCTCCTTGTCACATGTATCATGCAGTAATGGTACATGTCATGTATGATTGTTGTTGCCAGTAGTTGCCCGCAGACGAAGCTGCTGTACGAGCTGTACCTCTCCTCCCTTGTCACATGTATCATGTAGTAATGGTACATGTCATGTATGATTGCCTGCAGGAGAAGCTGCTGTACGAGCTGTACCTCTCCTCCCTTGTCACATGTATCATGTAGTAATGGTACATGTCATGTATGATTGCCTGCAGGAGAAGCTGCTGTACGAGCTGTACCTCTCCTCCCTTGTCACATGTATCATGTAGTAATGGTACATGTCATGTATGATTGCCTGCAGGCGAAGCTGCTGTACGAGCTGTACCTCTCCTCCCTTGTCACATGTATCATGTAGTAATGGTACATGTCATGTATGATTGCCTGCAGACGAAGCTGCTGTACGAGCTGTACCTCTCCTCCCTTGTCACATGTATCATGTAGTAATGGTACATGTCATGTATGATTGCCTGCAGACGAAGCTGCTGTACGAGCTGTACCTCTCCTCCCATGTCACATGTATCATGTAGTAATGGTACATGTCATGTATGATTGTTGTTGCCAGTAGTTGCCTGCAGACGAAGCTGCTGTACGAGCTGTACCTGCAGTATCCCTACATCCTGTCGTGGCTCACTGACAAGTCATGCATCACTGCTGAACATGACGCTCATGACAACCCAAGTCAGGTGGGTTCAACATTCTCATCCGCAACAAATTCTCATGGCAATCACCCTAGTTACTATCCACAACAAAGTATAATGAACTGATATCTGACTAAGATGTGTTGTGTGAGATTTGATGTGTGGACCTGAAGTGTGGTGAAGGTCGAATGCATGTGAAATATCTAATGTGTGCATAAAATATGATATGTAAGACCTTATTACCTGCTGTAGGATCTGAAGTGTGTGTTTAACTTGACCTGTGAGTTAGATACAGATTGTGTGTAAGAATTGATGTGTATGATCTGCTTTTCTGATTTATGGGAATACCTGTTGTTTGTGAAAGATCTGCTATTCTGATGTGTGTAAGGTATGATGTGTAAGATCTGCTATTCTGATGTGTGTAAGGTATGATGTGTATGTAAAGGATATATGGTCTGATTTGTGTGTAGCATCTGCTGATGTGGTGTAAGACCTGATATCTTACCGGTATGTGTTAAGTATATTATCTGTGCCTAAAAGCCGCCTTCTCTCATGAGTGTATAAACCGATGATGGGTGTTTTCAAGACGTGATGATGTGATTTGTGTACAGCTGGATGTCATTTCCCATCGACTGTTGATGGCATTCGGTCATGCTGTGCATGGGCATACCGCTGAGAACAGGATGTACGATGCCAACCTTGGATGTCGGAAGCTGGCTGCTGAACACCCTCAACTCATACTACGGTGAGAGGCTAGCTTTGTCTCTAGACGAAGCATTGATACATCATACATGTGGGTTAAAGTGTTTAAAAAACGTTTGAATAGATCTTCTTCAGCAAAGATGTGATTGTCCCATACTTGAAGCATTAATGCCGCATGTTGAACAAGGTCCTTATTTTCCTCTTTGATGCAGTAACTGAAACCAATGGCCAGTGTGGCTTTCATACTGGTCAATGTTAACACAACATCACCCAGTCACTTACTCGAACACACATCCATTGTGTCAGTGTTTTCACGTCAGTGTATTCACACAGTGTATTGTGTGACTTGTAATTGGCTGTTGCCTTAGTCACTGGTTTCACTAATCAGTGTTGTATATGTACATTATATTACTGTTTATGTTCCAGTCAGCTGCCCATGTTGGCTGCCCTGCTGAGGGGGAAGACACAGTACAAGATCGGGGAGATTAAGCACCGCAACTTCCTCACACTCTTCTCCAATGCTCTTGGCCTCCTGGAACTACTACAGCCACTGGTGTTCCGTGCAGAGTACACGTCACTGCCAGATATACTGGAGACCTACTTCACCCTCATACAGGTGAGTTCTCTACCTGATATTTACTGGAGACCTACTTCACCCTCATACAGGTGAGTTCTCTACCTGATATTTTCTGGAGACCTACTTCACCCTCATACAGGTGAGCTCTCTACCTGATATTTACTGGAGACCTACTTCACCCTCATACAGGTGCGCTCACTACCTGAGAATGTATAAACCTCTCCATTGATTGTATATGTTGAATGTGTAAGTCATCAGCTTTATATTTAATTTCAGTCTCATGGCAAAGAGCAACGGCTGTTAGGCTCCGTCATTGTGAAGTTTATCACATTCCTGAATGGTTTTGTCAGCTATGATCCTCAGCGTGCCATGACCCTCCTACAGAGATATGTCGTACTTCTTGGGTAGGTATAGATATTTTTCATTTCAGATCAAGAAATATCTGTATAAGATCTATGTATGTTGAGGCGTAAATGATATCTAAGATCGAAATACCTTGTAACTTTTCAAGATTTCATTTTATGTTGTGCTGTACATCAACACAATAAAACCTTCCTAATTTATTTATGATGCAAACAAAGAAAGAAATTGTGATGTTTGTATAAGAATTTAATATTTTCACTTCTGCCAGAAATCAGGGTTTGAAATCGACTGAGCAACCTATGCTTGGATTGGCTGGTCCTGCTCGTTAACTTTATTGATGGCACATAAATGGCAGGATCGTGGCTGATGTTTGGATCTCTGAATTGTCTGGTCCAGAATAAAATATTTACATCATGTAGCTGAAACAATTGCTGTGTGCAGTGTTTAACAGAAATCTTCAGCTGTAACACTAATTTTCTCTCCATGTGCCCCTCTAGAGACGTGTCATCTGTCTATCCTGACCTGTCAGAGCTGAAGTCCCTCCTTGCCGGCCTGGCTCTGCCCCGACAGAACAAGACCGAGGCAGACGCCACCAGCCAGGATGATGCCACACCCATTGGGTCACCAATACGGGCTGCCTGTTTCTGGTCATCAGCCCACCTGGCCCCAATCTACAAGAAACTCCAGAAGACGTAGATCAGTTGAAGGTTAGAAGCTCTAAGGATGTCCCGTGGTCTTCCTCATGAGTTCTTTTCAATGATAGTAGGAATGATTCAGATTTCGAAATACTTCACTGTTGGAATGAATGAAGTCATAACTTTTGCATCAAATTCACACTTATGATAATATATTGATTGATGGTAAAAATTATTTGTTTGTATGTGTACAAATATTAAAGTACCTATTTAAACCTGAAAGACATTTACTAACCACACACTCTCTCTCTCTCTCTCCTACTCTTTCACTCTCTCTCTCTCTCTTTGTCTTTGTTACAGAACTTTTGGATGTATTGCATGACCTTGATGAGACCTCCAAGAGAAAGGTGGAAATCCTTCAAAACTTTGAGGTAAATTATTTAATCAGTTGTCTGAATAGGAATCCAGTTGAATAAAGCCTGAAAGGTGTAATATCTGTGCACTGTTTAAACAAACCTTCTCCATACAGATCCAGTATAAACCATGCATGAATTTTGATTTTCATTGAACTTAAGGTTTCAAGATGGGTCTGGAAATATGTTCATGCATGAAACTGGAATGTGTTTCAGAGTGAGCTCCGGCAGCTGATGCTGGAGGCCAATGACAAATGTCGCAACCTTGCCTTCACTCTCATCATGCGACATCTCCGAAGTGCCCCATCGTGAGTACCATTCACTGATATTCAAATTCTCTAGTCCAGGTTACAGAAGTCACATAGACTCTACGTTCTGTTGTCCAGGTTACACAGGTCACATCGACTCTACGTTCTGTTGTTCAGGTTACAGAGGTCACATTGACTCTACGTTCTGTTGTTCAGGTTACAGAGGTCACATTGATTCTACGTTCTGTTGTTCAGGTTACAGAGGTCACATCGACTCTACGTTCTGTTGTTCAGGTTACACAGGTCACATCTACTCTACTTTCTGTTGTCCAGGTTACACAGGTCACATCCACTCTACGTTCTGTTGTCCAGGTTACAGAGGTCACATTGACTCTACGTTCTGTTGTTCAGGTTACACAGGTCACATTGACTCTACGTTCTGTTGTTCAGGTTACACAGGTCACATCTACTCTACTTTCTGTTGTCCAGGTTACACAGGTCACATCCACTCTACGTTCTGTTGTTCAGGTTACACAGGTCACATCCACTCTACTTTCTGTTGTTCAGGTTACAGAGGTCACATTGACTCTACGTTCTGTTGTTCAGGTTACACAGGTCACATCTACTCTACTTTCTGTTGCCCAGGTTACACAGGTCACATCCACTCTACGTTCTGTTGTTCAGGTTACACAGGTCACATCCACTCTACTTTCTGTTGTTCAGGTTACAGAGGTCACATTGACTCTACGTTCTGTTGTTCAGGTTACACAGGTCACATCTACTCTACTTTCTGTTGTCCAGGTTACACAGGTCACATCGACTCTACTTTCTGTTGTCCAGGTTACACAGGTCACATAGACTCTACGTTCTGTTGTCCAGGTTACAGAGGTCACATCCACTCTACTTTCTGTTGTTCAGGTTACACAGGTCACATCCACTCTACGTTCTGTTGTTCAGGTTACAGAGGTCACATCGACTCTACTTTCTGTTGTCCAGGTTACACACGTCACATAGACTCTACGTTCTGTTGTCCAGGTTACACAGGTCACATAGACTCTACGTTCTGTTGTCCAGGTTACACAGGTCACATCGACTCTACTTTCTGTTGTCCAGGTTACACAGGTCACATAGACTCTACGTTCTGTTGTCCAGGTTACACAGGTCACATCCACTCTACGTTCTGTTGTCCAGGTTACACAGGTCACATCGACTCTACTTTCTGTTGTCCAGGTTACACAGGTCACATCCACTCTACGTTCTGTTGTTCAGGTTACAGACGTCACATCCACTCTACGTTCTGTTGTTCAGGTTACAGAGGTCACATCTACTCTACGTTCTGTTGTTCAGGTTACAAAGGTCACATCGACTCTACGTTCTGTTGTTCAGGTTACAGAGGTCACATCGACTCTACTTTCTGTTGTCCAGGTTACACAGGTCACATCCACTCTACGTTCTGTTGTTCAGGTTACAGAGGTCACATCCACTCTACTTTCTGTTGTTCAGGTTACAGAGGTCACATCGACTCTACTTTCTGTTGTCCAGGTTACAGAGGTCACATCCACTCTACTTTCTGTTGTTCAGGTTACACAGGTGACATCTACTCTACTTTCTGTTGTCCAGGTTACACAGGTCACATCCACTCTACGTTCTGTTGTTCAGGTTACACAGGTCACATCCACTCTACGTTCTGTTGTTCAGGTTACACAGGTCACATCCACTCTACATTCTGTTGTCCAGGTTACAGAGGTCACATTGACTCTACGTTCTGTTGTTCAGGTTACAGAGGTCACATCCACTCTACGTTCTGTTGTCCAGGTTACAGAGGTCACATCCACTCTACGTTCTGTTGTTCAGGTTACAGAGGTCACATTGACTCTACGTTCTGTTGTTCAGGTTACACAGGTCACATCTACTCTACTTTCTGTTGTCCAGGTTACACAGGTCACATCCACTCTACGTTCTGTTGTTCAGGTTACAGAGGTCACATCCACTCTACTTTCTGTTGTTCAGGTTACAGAGGTCACATTGACTCTACGTTCTGTTGTTCAGGTTACACAGGTCACATCGACTCTACTTTCTGTTGTCCAGGTTACACAGGTCACATCCGCTCTACGTTCTGTTGTTCAGGTTACACAGGTCACATCCACTCTACTTTCTGTTGTTCAGGTTAAAGGTGGTCACATCCGCTCTACGTTCTGTTGTTCAGGTTACACAGGTCACATCCACTCTACTTTCTGTTGTTCAGGTTAAAGGTGGTCACATCCACTCTACTTTCTGTTGTTCAGGTTACACAGGTCACATCGACTCTACGTTCTGTTGTTCAGGTTACAGAGGTCACATCGACTCTACGTTCTGTTGTCCAGGTTACAGAGGTCACATCGACTCTACGTTCTGTTGTCCAGGTTACAGAGGTCACATCCACTCTACGTTCTGTTGTTCAGGTTACAGAAGTTAAATAGATTCTCTGTTCTGTTGTTCAGGTTACAGAGGTCACATAGACTCTATGTTCTGTTCTTCAGATTACAGGAACACAGAGACTGTTTGTCTCTATGGTTTCATTCAGTGTCTAGCCCTGCTTTCTCCTCCAGACGCTCCAGTGAGTTCGTGGCCATGTACCTGCAGTGCCTCAGTGACAGCAACCCGGACATCATCAGGACGGGTCTCACCAACATGACTGAGTTCACCGTCCTGTGTCAGGGTGAGTACATCAGGATCAGGCATTTTCTGATTGGAGGATAGTCTTGTGTTACCCACAATGAAACCAAAAGGCGCCAGAAATTGCCCAACTGTGTACTGAAGGGACTATTCTGTAGTTTAGGGGTAACGCCCCCCTCCTTGTAGGTCTCACCCACCTGTGTACTGAAGGGACTATTCTGTAGTTTAGGGGTAACGCCCCCCTCCTTGTAGGTCTCGCCCAACTGTGTACTGAAGGGACTATTCTGTAGTTTAGGGGTAATGCCCCCCTCCTTGTAGGTCTCACCCACCTGTGTACTGAAAGGACTATTCTGTAGTTTAGGGTAACCCCTCCTTGTAGGTCTGCCCACCTGTGTACTGAAAGGACTATTCTGTAGTTTAGGGTAACGCCTCCTTGTGTATTTTGTGGGTCTCTCACCCACCTGTGTACTGAAAGGACTATTCTGTAGTTTAGGGGTAACGCCCCCCTCCTTGTAGGTCTCGCCCACCTGTGTACTGAAAGGACTATTCTGTAGTTTAGGGGTAACGCCCCCCTCCTTGTAGGTCTCGCCCACCTGTGTACTGAAAGGACTATTCTGTAGTTTAGGGGTAACGCCCCCCTCCTAGTAGGTCTCCTCCATCTATGTACTGAAAGGACTATTCTGTGTTTTGTAGGTCATGCCCTCCTCCTTGTAGGTCGTGCCCACCTGTGTACTGAAAGGACTATTCTGTAGTTTAGGGGTAACGCCCCCCTCCTAGTAGGTCTCCTCCATCTATGTACTGAAAGGACTATTCTGTGTTTTGTAGGTCATGCCCTCCTCCTTGTAGGTCGTGCCCACCTGTGTACTGAAAGGACTATTCTGTAGTTTAGGGGTAACGCCCCCCTCCTTGTAGGTCTCGCCCACCTGTGTACTGAAAGGACTATTCTGTAGTTTAGGGGTAACGCCCCCCTCCTTGTAGGTCTCATCCATCTATGTACTGAAAGGACTATTCTGTGTTTTGTAGGTCATGCCCCCTCCTCGTAGGTCGTGCCCACCTGTGCACTGGAAGTACTATTCTGTATAGTGTGGGTAATGCCCCCTACTTGTAGGTCATGCCCACCTGTGTACTGAAGGGACTATTCTGTATTTTGTAGGTCATGCCCAGGTTATTCTTCAGAAGGTGTTCACCATTGGCATCACAACATCTATGGAGACATCATCCTACATCAGCGAGACCCTGCAGTTGCTGAACCTGGAGAATGCCCAGACGTGAGAAGATAGGAGGAATCAAGAATACATTTTACAGCTTAACGGTGTTATCCTCACAGCAAGACTACAGATGTTCCCACTGTCATAATTCTGCTTGCATCATCTTCACAAACCATCCACAGTTCTTGGTTTTGATAAATCTGCCAAGAGTAGAGTTGGAGTGAAGGACATTCATCAGTAGATGTGTTGTATTGGTGATAATTAGCCATGGCCAGTCTCTTTCTCTCTTGTATCAATCTCTGGGATGTCAGTTGTCTACTGGCCAGGACTCAAGACAATGAAAGATCCACATCCACTTTGTGAAAAGTTGCTCCATCAAGTACTTGTGTGATATCGTCATATGAGCGAAATGTTCTCAAGCACGGTGTTAAACCCAATTCCACCACCACCACTTGTGTGATAACACAGATATGGTTCATCAAAAACAAAATAGGAAAGATAATCTGGGTTATTGATGCAGTAACAAATCCTCAAAAATATGTATTAATGTTTTGTTACTGATAGTCTTTACATCAGTGGATATGTATATATATGTTTTGTACATATTAATCATGATATGGTGGATTAAATGATACATTCATTATTCACTGGTTTCTCTACAAACTGTTCATTCCTAGAAAATATAACCCAGAACAGATCTCTGATCATTCATATTAATAGTACTCAGTTTGAGAGGAAGTTAGGCAAATTATATTCCCCACAGTATATATGACTATTAAAATGTTGTTTCTTTATTTGCAAAGAAAACAAATACAAATACAAACACATGTGTCTCACATAGCTTTGGAAGTATTATACATTTTTAACCCTATGATATATTTTTAATATCATAATAGCCCATAAAACATGCATCATAATTATACAAATAATTATACTCTGTAAGAGTAAGCATGTCTACTGAATCATTGACTATGTCACATATTTGACAAATACCCCTTTCTAACCATTTCATTTCAATACTCATCTTGTATCAACTTTTGAGTTGTAAAAATCTTGAAATGGCTCTAATTGTTTCTCTTTGGAAGTTATGAATATCTATGGTAAGACAATAATTCGCATTGAAGATCGTCAAAGTTTGTGCTGTGTGTTGCCTGTTGTGCCCTTCAATAATTTTAC